GGGGAAAGAGAGAGAGGGAGAGAGAGAGAGAGAGAGAGAGAGAGAGAGAGAGAGAGAGAGAGAGACAGAGAGAGACAGAGAGAGACAGAGAGAGACAGAGAGAGAGGAGAAAGAGACAGAGACGGGGGGGAAGCAGAGAAGTGGAGAGAGAGGCAGAAGCAAAGCTGCCTCTCCGAGAGGAAGATGGAAAAGAGAGAGTCCAAAGCATTTTCTTGGTAGTATGTTCAGAGGATCTTTTTGTTACCCTCCTTCTTGCTTTATTGTTATAATAACTCAGAACTGCCTAATACCCATCTGCTTATTTGCACATTTGTGAGGGTGAAACCATGTTCAGACTGTGAAGTGAACAGAACACTGCGCGTTTGTGTTCTGCTTTGTTTCTGTCTACTGCACTCTAGCATGTGATGCTGGCGGGGCGAGGGAATGCCTGTCTTTCCTTTCTCACCTGCATGTTAACTCTACCATGGCATCCATCACAGGCATTAGACATAATTCTGTAGTCTGTTTTTAGCAAAGGGTTAAGGATGAATGACTGGGTTGAGAAAACCACATGGAGCAGCTACCCTTTAGCACACTTACTGGGTTAAAATTGTTGGCTGTCTTTTCATGATTTAAGTTCTCTTAACAAATGTTGTTTGGAGAGCATGTCTAAAAGAAAAACAAGATTTTTTTAAATATAAAATTTTCTCAGTCTGTTTGATATGCTGGCATTTTTACTTTATAAACTTGTTTCTACATTCCTTGGTGAACTATTTAGCATTGCTTGCCATTATGACTGTCTCCGTTTGTGAATATGAAAGTTGGATGGGAAATTGGACCATAGTAAAGTTCCCTGCATTATAGTTGCTATTGATAGTAAGGTTTCAGCTGGGGATAATCTCTCATTCCTCTGCTAATTCCGCAGAATGCAACATAAATCACTTGTGTCTTAAGGCTTAGAGTAGCATTGCTTTTGTTCCTTTGCTTTGCCTGTCTCTGAATTTTATAGCAGTGAAATAGCAATAGTAAATAGGAAAATATAAGTATATTAAATGAGCAGCAGTAGTAAACCAATAATGCCAGTGAAGCTAACTGGCTATCTGAATATAATGACATGTTTATTATACTTACTGGATTGCATAAGTCTCTAACGCAGAACTCAGTACTGTTATAGAAGGCAGCTTCCCCTTGTGTGTGTCTCGGTGCTGTGAGGAATGGACACGATGCCCAAGGGCTCTGCCCGTCATCTGCACTCCCGCCCATGCTCCGTTCTCTTCCTAGAATAGCAGAGCCGACTGTAGTCTGTAGCATGGCGCAGACCATGTGAGGACCTGCTGTAGCTCCCCGTTTAGTCAGGTTGTCTTGGGAGCTGCTTGTTTCATCAAGCACGAGTGATCGTGTACAGTGAGTCTACATATTTGCTGACCAATTTGCACGGGACAGCCATTCCAGATAGTGTTACATTTGGAAAAGGTTTTTCCAAGGTGTCTCCAAATTAATTCACCATTACTATGTGGTTAGAAAACAGGATGGCCTTGTATTCAGAATGTGCGGTCTATGTTCTAGAGCTGTAGGATCCTGTGATTTCCTCATCATGACGCAGCCTTCTAGATCTCAGCTGTCATCTTCATAGCTTGATCGAGTTGATAGGTATAAAATCATTGGAAAGAAAATCTTTACTAATATTGAATGGACATTTAAAGAAATCATTAAGTTATATTAAGTATATTGCCATATCCTAGTGATTTAAATGTTTTTTTGTTTGTTTATTGGTTTTTTTTTTTGCATTTTAAAAGTGAGTAAAAGGGGGGCTGAAGAGATGGCTCAGCGGTTAAGAGCATTGCCTGCTCTTCCAAAGGTCCTGAGTTCAATTCCCAGCAACCACATGGTGGCTCACAACCATCTGTAATGAGGTCTGGTGCCCTCTTCTGGCCTGCAGGTATACATGTAGACAGAATATTGTATACATAATAAATAAATAAATAAATAAATAAATAAATAAATAAATAAATAAATAGTGAATAAAAGGAAGGTAAGAGCTGGAGGTTGTAGGGCACTGTAAAGTGCTGTCTTCTGGACATGGCCTGGTTTCTGTGAGCTCACAGAGCTTTTGCTTCCTCCACAAGAAAGCAGAAGGAATCTTAACATCTACAGAGTAGATGATCCGCAGGCCTCATGCCTTACTGGGAGCCACTGGCACTTGCTTGGGAAGGAAAAGACTTATTCTTTCCTGGAGGACCGGCCACTTGTAGGAGCACCAAGCGCCGTGCCAGTGAATGCCCCGTTGTCTATGCATGAGCACTGACTGGACTTGGCGGGCTTCCAAAGGGAAAGAAAGGAATAAAATTGGGAAGGGGACATTGTATGCCTGGATGAAATTCTGAAGAATAAAGAGAATCTTTTTAAAAATAAAATTAATAAAAGTGTCTTTTTTTTCATAGGTACCAAAGATGTCCAGTGGGAATTTGTACATGGCTTACTTGAAAATGCTATCTATGGAGGCCGCGTAGATAACTGTTTCGACCTCAGGGTTCTTCAGTCATACTTGAAGCAGTTTTTTAATTCTTCTATAATTGATGTACCAAACCAAAGGAACAAGAAAAGCATTTTTCCATATTCCATATCTCTCCCAAACTCCTGCAGCATTTTGGTAGGTAGAAATAATAATTTCCCATGCATTTTCTGGACCTGCACATACATGAATTATATGATGAATATGTTTGCAGTACAGATTGTTTGTTTTGGCAATACAACTCTGATTTTTAGAACTTGCATCAATAAAAACTTGGTTTAAGTGATTGGTCATTGTAATTGTAAGATAGTATGCACACAAACTGGGAGTATGGCGCCAAGGAAACTCGCTTGATGCTAGGCTTCTGTGAAGAGCTATATATCTTACTGTAAAGCCTGCCTAGCTTCAGTCTGCGAATGGCATAGATACGTGGAACAGACCTAAACAGTAAAAAAAAAAAAAAAAAAAAAGGTTGTTCATTTATCTGTGGCCAGCTGCTGTGGCTTACATATGTGTTTATTTTAACAAGCAGGAGTTCTTGCCTCAAGTCCTGACATGGCTCTGGATGCCACTCACCTTCTCTGTGGCATGTGCTAAATATAGCCTATAGAATCCAACTGTGTCTACTTTCCCATAAGCCTGTGTTTGTATATATGCTACATGACTTTTTACTAAAGAAGGTACTGTGACATTTCTTCATAAATTTCAAAGAAAAGCATATGTGCTTGATTAATATATTACTCTCATTTTGTGATTTTTTTTTCCTTACTCAAATAATTTTTCAAAAATATTCTTGATTTGAAAAAAAAAAACCCAAAAGCCTAAATAGCACTGTTAAAATTGGTACTTATTGAATATAATTTCTGTTGTTAATAACAAGTCTGCTTGATTCGTGTGTCCTTTATTTCCCTAAGCACTCAAGAGTGTGCTGTTCAGAGCCAGTAACGTACCATGTACTGTGGAAAGGGGCACAGTGTCACTAGTTTCAGGTACAGAACAGCAGAGCAGATGAGCGAATGTCTGTTTTCAGGTGATCTCTCCCAACAAGTTGTAAGTTTGTATCACTTGAAACTTATTTCCAATAATAAAATTCATGCAGAAATGTGCTCACAATAGGTGTGCACAGTAATTACTTTTATATCTTAGACACATGAGTGTAAGCAGCTTGCAGTATCCTCAGCCAGCCACATGCCCTGATCCTGCTTCTTCTAGCTGCTACTTGTTTCACAGAAGAGGCATTGTATTGATTTCCAGTCTCCTAATCTTTGTGTAAATGACGGTATACGGTAGACATCTTGTGTCTCTGTGAGGATCTATTCTTGGGATTTGTGACTGCCATGCTGCTAGTTAGCAAGTCAGTCTCAGAAGACAAACACCTTAACTTTTCACAGGTAATAGTTTTAATTTCATCAGATTCATAACAGTCTCTGTTCAGCTTTCTGTCCTATTCCATTAGCTGCCACATTTCCCAGAGGGCTGGGAATGTGCCCCTGAGGCTGCAAATGCACACATGCTCTGTGTATGTCACTGGCGCTGGGAGGAAATTGACAGTCATGGAGCTGAAGGACAGACTGTCAGAGGACATCCTAGTCCTGGGCTTCCTGGAATTTTACGGTTTTCTTCAAGGGCAGCTGCAAAGGATGAGACAGAATGAAAAGAAATCGCCCTTGCTCAGCAGATGCTGTGTAGTTGCATGTGTGTGTGTGTGCATATAATACCTTATCATAGTTTACCCCTATGAGAATAACTCTCTGCTTTGGACCAAAGTGAATGAGTGTTTTCTTGGTCTCCCCTTGAGTTTTCATCTAAAATTAGGAATAAGTAAGTGTTAGGTTGGTGTGAAGGAAGTGTACGCAGTCCTCAGAGTGACCCTTAGCATGAGATTATCAATGGGTTATTATTGTGTGTCAACACCCACTTCCCCAGTGACAGAAGACAGGTGTGCCGGTGGAACTGCCTGGAGACAGCAGTGGAACAGCAGGTTGTGATTATAGGTTGTTTTAAAATAAAGCAACCAGTGATTGTTGAGATGTGTAGGAGCTGAACTCTGCAGGTGGGCTTTCGTGTGCTGTAAGAAATTAAGACTCCTTAAATACATCTAGCCCAGCATCTTACACATGGTCAGCAGATCCACTTATGTATGTTTGAATCCACTTGGAGATTCTGCATGTAAGGAACTGAAACAAGAAAATACGGCATCGAGCAGTTAATGCACAGAGTGTCAGTGACAGCGCTTGCTATAGGGATCAGAACACTGTAGAAGTATTTATCCAGCAAATATGAAATGTGAGCACTTATGTAGTCGTTTGTCCATTGTCCACTGTGTGATCTTTGTGGTTGTAAGTCCGTCTTTGGTGACTAGCTTTTCCTTCGTTACCTGTAGGACTATCGTGCTGTCATTGAGAAGCTCCCTGAAGATGATAAACCCAGCTTCTTTGGTCTGCCTGCCAACATCGCTCGCTCATCTCAGCGCATGACCAGTTCTCAGGTAAGAACACGCTGCTACTGAGCACAACTACTCCTTACAACTTTATTTCATTTAACAGAGGACACTCCATTTTTACCTTCAGTTTTAAAGGTGTCAAGTGATTTTACCCTTCTAAATAACACTGAATACCTCAATTTCATTTAAACATTTGATTTATTCCTATGAAAGATTTTAATAAGATTACTTTAAATGTAACTTGTATGAGTGAACTTGCCACCAAATTTAATACTGTTCTAGCATGCAGAATTAAATACCTATTCTTTCTTTCTGCATTGTCTTATAGAATATATTGTTTGATATTAATTCATTACTGGGTGTTACAAATGTCTTCCCAGGCTTCACAGCATTGCTTTTAGGCCTCTGACCAAGGCAGTCTGGTGGAGAAGACTGTTGACATCACGGGAGCCAGAGGAAGCAGGCAGAAGTATATGACAAAACTCCAATAAGATGTTACTCCTCATGGTCCACTGACTTCTCAATAAGCCATTAGCTTTGAGACAAGTGCTTACTCTGAAGCACAGTACATAGGAACAACTTGTCTATAGGGCCTAAGTTGTTGTCGCTCGGTGACTTGAACAGCTCCTGTTTACCGACCTCACCAAGTCTGAAGCCCTTCCCAGTGCTGTGTTCAGGGGCTTACTCACTGTTCACTGACTCTTTCAAATAGGAGCCGCTACCTTTACCTTTTAAGAATTGAGGAAAGAGACACAGAGATTGTTTATTTTAAGATGCCCAAGATCTAGGGCAGGGCTGGACTTTTAACTCAGGCTTTCTGATTTATTCTTCTTTAGAAATTTTTTTTTTAGTGTTTTGTAGGTGGAAACTGCTCGTTCATTTCCTGGCCACCCAGACCTGAAATAATCAGAAACTTTATAATTACAATACTGCTTGGCCTATTAGCTTATGCATATGTCTAGCTAACTTTTATATCTTAAATCAACCCATCTCTATTAATCTGTGCATCACTGTGAGGTTGTCGCCTACTGGTACCAGCAAGCTCCAGCAGGTGTCTTTCTCCTTTGGTGGCTACATGGTGTCTCCCTGACTCTGCCTTCTTTTCTCCTCTATCTGTGCTTGAAATTCCCACCTTGCTCTAAGCCACTGGCTGAAATAGCTTTACTCATTAACCAATAAAAGCAACACATCTAAAGAAGTACTTCGCACACCAGAGTTTTATTTTGCTTTTAAGATTATTTGTTTTTAATATGTGTTTTAAATATGTGGTTACCTGCGTGCATGTCTGTCTGTCCACCATGTGCATGCCTTGTGCCCACAGAGGCCAGAAGGAACATTAGATTCCTTAGACTGAAGTTGCAGATAGTTGTGATACATGATTTGGGGACTGAGGGCTCAGCTAGGTCCTCTGGAAGAACAAGGACTCTTAGATGATGAACTGTCTCTCCAGCCTCTCTTTCCCCACCTCTCTCTTTCTTTCTGGTTTTTTTTTTTACACCCCAACCAAAGGTTCCACTCCCTCCTCTCCTCCCAGTTCCTCCTGCCCCTGCCATCTGCTCCTCCTTGTTCCTCCTTCTCTGTCTCTCTTCAGATAGGAACACAGCCCCTCGTATGTATGTGCATCTGTGAGTGCGGGCTTGTAGAGGACTGTAGGGCAGTGCTTGTGAGGCCAGAGGAGGGTATCAGATGCCGTGGGGCTGCAGTTACATGCAGGCGGTTGTGAGCTGCCTGACTTGAGCACTGGTAACCACACTTGGACCCTCTGCCAGAGTAGTGTACTCCTAGCTGCTGGGCTCTCTCACTCGCTGTAGTAATAGGAGTGGAGGGGCTGCGTCCCCAGCACCCCAGCCGCCTGCTAGCTTATGCCCCGGACATAATTACACGGACACTGTATTCTTTTTAAACACTGCGTGGCCCATTAACTATAGCCCTTACTGGCTAATTCTGATATTCTAATCAACCCATCTCTAATAAACAGTGTACCACCAGTCTTACTGGGAAAGATTCAGCATGTCTGACCTGGCGGCTTGCTTCATCGTGTGCACCCGGGAGAGGGGAGCATGGCCTCTGCTCCAGAGAGCAGAGCAGTCAAGTCTGACCTCACTTCCTCTTCCTCCCACCATTCTGTTCTGTTTACTCCACCCACCTATGTTCTAACCAATAAAATGGGCCAAGGCAGTTTCTTTATTTTTTAACCAATGACCTTCCTCCATCATGTCCCCTTTTTCTATTTAAAAAAAAATTGAAATTTCCTGCTTCATGGAAATGTCTGCTGGAAACTATGGGCCTGTAGGTCGAAGATGGATGCCCCAATGGTACAGAGAAACTTTGGGTGACTGTCCAAACAGCGAGATGTGTCTGTCATTTCTTGAGTTTGAAAGTTGCTTATTTCTTGTTTGCTTAGGTAATATTGTATCTTTCTGGAGTGTTTGATGGAGTTGAAGAATAGATAAATAGTTATAGTTATAGTTTTCCTTTGTTATGATAAAAGATAAAGTAGATATAAATATTGTAACTGTAATTCTTACTTGATAACTGTTTTGTTATATGTAATTTTGCTATGTTAAAGTTAAAGCCTTCCTTCCTTTTTTGTTTAAACAGAAAAAGGGGAAATGATAGAGGAAGGTCATTGGCTAATAAAGAAACTGCCTTGGCCCATTTTATTGGTTAGAACATAGGTGGGAGGAGTAAACAGAACAAAATGCTGGGAGGAAGAAGAAGTGAGCTCAGAAACCATGCAGCTCCTCTCAGAGGCAGACACGATGGAGCAGGAAATTTCAAAGGCAGTCACTATCTGCTGTGTCCTGCAGAATGTCTTGCAAACTCTTTCATAAATCAGGAACCCCGAAAGATCATCTCACCTTTAGGCCAGTTCAGCAGTCCTCTCTCTGAGGGTTCTTTGTGTCCAGTTTATGCAACAGTCCAGGCCAGGAGCAGTTTCTTGCCCAAATGGCTATCAAACTCCATAAGGATCCTCTTCGATGCCCATCTTCTTCTTGAAGTAGATTGGTGCTGCCAGGAGCAGAGTTCCTCATTGTTATGAAAAACCCTAAGTTATTAAAACATTTAAAATGCCATATTCTATAATCTTTGAAAAAACTTGCCATGTCATAGAAAAAGTTTTTTTGAATTTATCTTGAGTTATTCTTCTTTACCATTTCCTGTAGCAGCATGGACCTTTGCAAGTGCAAATGATATGGAATGAGCCATTTCAGAGGTTCTTAGCATAGTCTGTAGATGGAGGCTCCAGCAGCCTTTAAACACTTACATTCATTCTTTGCAGGCACTGTAGTTAGGAGGTATTTCCTTAGTTAAGTCTACGTGGTTATACTATACTGTTGCTTATCCAACACTTTTTTTTTTTTAGGGTTTTTTTTTTTTTTTTTAGTTTTTCGAGACAGGGTTTCTCTGTAGCTTTGGAGCCTGTCTGGCACTAACTCTTGTAGACCAGGCTGGCCTAGAACTCACAGAGATCCGCCTGCCTCTGCCTCCCGAGTGCTGGGATTAAAGGCGTGCGCCACCACTGCCCCGCTCTCCAACACTTCTTAAGTTGTTGTTGCCTCTTGTTTTGTCATTAAGTATATTAACTGTTTTGAAATTTCGGTGCTCATTCTCCAATCATTGCAAAACAATTTGAACATATATTTATAAAAATATTGTTCCTTAGAACAAATGAGCTTTCCATCTCTGCCAATGAAGACAATCTCCAGTTCCTTTTTGTTTTCTCATTTAAAGTGTCCCTTGAGTTTAAGAATGTGCCTCTTCCTCAGGTCTCCATCATATGTGCCTATGCCCTCCTTGTTTCCAGCCATGATTTTTAGCTGACCTACTTATCTTTAGCATCACATAAAGTAACATGTAGGACCTTATATCTTGGTATGTTTTAGGTATATTTACCAGTTTTATGTTGGGATCTCTTTCTTTAAGTGTTGTACTCTGTGTTCTATCAAACTGACTGCTTTGAAATTAGATGCATGTATTTATTACCATTATATCTTTCTGTTGATCAGTTGATCACTATATATTGACCTTCCTAGCTTCGTTACAGACTTTGTGTCAAAGTCCATTTTGTCAGCCATAAGAATAGTTCTCTTCTTTTCCTTGGCATACCTTATTTCACAGTTTCACCCCGAGTTTCTGTGCGTCCATCGGAAAGGGAGTTTCTTGTGGGAAGCCATATATTCTTGAGCCTTGTTTGTATGTTTGCTTGTTTGTTAATATTTTTAAAAATCCATTCTGATGTTAATTGAAGAAGTTTATTTTTATATAATGCTATAAAATTAGATAATTAGAAAGTTTTTTTTTTCCTAGTTTGGTGTATTGTGTGCCCTTTTCCTCTGCTCTTATTCACCTGTTAGCTTAACAACTTACTATATTGATGTGTGGTTCTTTATCTGTCATTTGTGTTTGTGCTCTTCCGGTGGGACTTGTCCTGCCTCATGCTGTCATGATAGTCTAGTGCTCTTCTGCTTCTCTCATGGGATCCCTTAGCAGCATCCTTTTCTTCTTCTTTTTGTTGTTGTGGTCTTTGTTTGTGGCACTGAGCTTAAGCATGTCTTCTCAGTCTTCTCAGATGGTCATGAATCATTTCAGTTTTTGGTTGCCTTTGAAAGTCATTATTTATCTTTCATTTTTTTTTAAAAAAAATTGAAGTGTGTACATGTGTATCTTTCATACGTTCGTGCATGCATATGTGTATGCATATGTGTGGAGGTGTTAAGGGGATTGTACATGCCATAACATGTTTAAGGAGGACAGAGGAAGAGGATGACTTTGTGGGATTGGTTCTCTCCTTCCACCTTTACATAGTTACTGGACATCAAGCCCAAGATGCTAGACTTGCATGGCAAGCTGTATACCTGCTGAATCATCCCATTCCTTCTTGTCCAAAAGGCAGCCAGATCACTGTCACAATCTTGCTTAGCAGCTATTTTCCTTTCAGCATTTGCCATTTTATGGAGTAGGGTTTCTGCCAGGTAATCTGCTAATGTAATGAGAATACCCTTAAATGGGACCCAGCACTTTCTTGAAAATTTAACTACATA